GGATTTTGAGCTGTTGGGTTTTCAATTCGGGGTTTTTTTCTACATGGATAGAGCACTTCCCATGGGGTGCTCCATTTCCTGTGCGGTCTTTGAGCAATTTAGTACCTTCCTGGATTGGGCCGTTAGGACCAAATCCGGAATGTCTGGAGTCACCCATTATTTGTATGATTTCCTGTTTGTAGGGCGTTCCGGGTCGGGTAATTGCAAGGGGTTACTCAAGTCATTTCAGGGGCTAGCACGGGAATTAGGGGTTCCCTTGGCGGAGGAAAAAACGGAAGGCCCATCATCGGTTCTGATTTTTCTTGGGATTGAATTGGATATGGTAAATCAATATTCCAGGTTGCCACCGAACAAAGTGGCAGACTTGACAGGCAGGGTCCAACAGTTTTTGCATCGTAGAAAGGCCACTTTAAAAGAATTTCAGGAATTAATTGGCCATTTAAATTTTGCATGTAGGGTTGTTGCCCCGGGGAGGGCTTTTTTACGTCGGCTGTGTAATGCCATAGCAGGAGTTAAAATGCCTCACCATAGGATTAGGGTTACTCGTTCAGTTAGGGAGGACCTGTCCATTTGGATGGAATTTTTGGAGGGTTTTAACGGGGTTTCATTCTGGAGACAGGAGTTAAGGCTGCAGGACGCTCTCAAAGTGGCGTCCGATGCATCAGGTGCAGTTGGCTTTGGGGTGTTTTTTCAGGGACACTGGTGTGCCGAAGTCTGGCCGGACAGTTGGCACGCACAGGGGATTACAGCAGATTTAACGTTTTTGGAATTTTTCCCCATACTTGTTGCTGTTACAGTATGGGTTGAGGCCTTTGCCAATTCGACCGTTCATTTTTGGTGCGATAACCTTGCCACCGTTCAGGTTATTAACACTTTGACATCAAAATCCAATAGGGTGATGGGGGCGCTCAGGCAGTTCACTTTACACTGCTTGAGGTATAACATCTTGTTTAAAGCCTTTCACATAGCGGGAATAGACAATTCTTTGGCTGACGCTCTATCTCGTATGCAGATGGAGCGCTTCAGACAACTCGCGCCCAGCGCCGACGTTCATCCACAGCGTATGCCAGGCCATCTTTGGCAGGTTGGAGGGACGAGGCGGTAATGGGTATGGCTTTAGCGTTAGCCCCAAGTTCACGAAAGTCTTACCTGAGGGTGGTTGAGGAGTTTCATGAGTTTAGACAGTTTTACCAGTTACCGTCTACAGTACCGATTCCTTACGAACATTTGGCGCAATTCTGTGTGTACTCGCACAGAAGGGGCCTAGCGCCGCACACTATTAAGTCCCAGCTGTCGGCGTTGGCCTACTGGTCAAAAGCGCAGGGCCTTTCGGATCCCACAAACGATTTCCGCCTTCATAAGATTATCGCGGGTTGGGCACGCCAACGGGGTCCATCGCATGATAAAAGGGAACCCTTGTCTCCCACAATTTTAAAGGGATTGAGGGGAACGTGGCCCAGAGTGTGTCGGTCCGAGTATGAGCAGCGGTTATTTCACGCGGCGGCCTTGACGGCCTTTTTCGCTGCTCTTAGGATAAGTGAGTTGCTCACCATGTCAAAAAGTGATGTCTCTCAGCGGGCATTGCTGTTGCCAGATATAAAACTTACCCATGACACCCTCCAAATTTTAGTACGTTCGTCCAAGACGGACCAGCAAGCGAGGGGCGCTGTAGTTACATTAGCTAGATGCAGTGACCCCGAGCTATGCCCTGTTTCGGCTATGGCACACTTCATTCAAGTTAGGGCTCAGGCGGGGGGATATTTGTTTTGCCATCAGGATTCCACCCCCCTCACAAAATATCAGTTTTGGGCCATCACAGATAGGGCGCTGAAGATGCTGGGGTTGGGTTCTCACAAATTTGGCACTCACTCTTTTCAAATTGGGGCGGCATCTTCGGCAGCACAGTTGGGTTACAATGAGGAAGCCATTAAATCAATTGGCAGGTGGAAATCGGACGCTTACAGGCGATATGTTCGCTCGGTACTTGTTTGAGTTTGTTGTTTATCTTTCAGAGATTGCCAGGCTGGCGCATAGATGGAGAATCCTTGTTTGTGGGCATAGTTATGTCCACTGGGCGGAGAGATACGCCAGGAACTCGTCCTTTGGCCAGCATCTGGGTTGCGCTTCCACTGCATTGGTCGAGTGGAAGGGTGTTCGGGGCCTTCGTTGGGACGGTTTGGTTCCCTTGTTGTTCCAGGACAGGAGCAGGCCCACTCCTGATGTTTTGGTGCTCCATATCGGAGGTAACGATCTTGGCCTGCTTAACGGCAGGGCCTTGTATCTGCAAGCCCGTGCCGACATTTTGAGGATCTGGCAGGCATGGCCCCGGGTTCACATCGCTTGGTCGGCCATCATTCCACGCCTTCGGTGGCCAGGAGGTGGTGATGTCAGGAAGCTTGAAAAGGCCAGAAAGCGTGTGAACCGGGCCATGCGCACGGCTTTAGCACGGGGCAGAGGGTCTTACATCCAGCATAAGGACATCACACATGACAAAACACAGTTTTATTGCTCGGATGGTGTACATTTAACGGATTTGGGTAACACACAATTTTTGGCTGATTTGCAGTTAGGCATTCAGGAAGTATTAAGGGGCTTGGTGGGGGATGGGGGCGAAATAGACATTTGCCCCCAATCTGTGGCATAAATAGTTCAGGAATACACTGACATGGAGGTATACACATGGCACCCATTAAGGGTGGGGGGCACTGTACAACAAACACTCACCTAGAAGTCAACAAATGGGTGAGGGGACATCAATTGGCCCAGTAAAGAGAGAAGCTGATATCAATAATCGGACACAGGCTTCTCCAGACTTTTACCTTCAGGTTGCCCGGTTGGGGATGCAGGGCACACAGACATCACACACTAAGTAGCTGGGGACGCTGCCTCAGCTTGCCACCAAGTTCCTTGATACTTAGTTTAGTTCAGGTAAAGTTAAATAGGTAACATTCAATAAAAGTTGCCCAATTTGAATCCATACCTTTGTTGTCTGTCTCGTTATTTCAGGGGTTAAGGGGCAAAAGTTGTTGGGAACATAGGTTGCATTGCCAGCTCCAAATGAATGAACTTAAATTCCAATATCATCTCTGAGTATGAATTGTCATCTTTTCTGTGAAGGCAAGCTAGGTGTGCTGTACCCTTTAGGAGGGAGTGTGTGCATCTGTAACATATCACTTTACTTGATTCCTTCCTTATTTGGTTCTTTTATCTACAGTGATTTAGTTCATAGCAGACAAATATACAATGCCAATTCAGTGTATGCTAACCCAGAAGCAATGGAAACTTACTCATACGTAAGTGAAGTAATTTGGTCACATAATGAGAAGACAGGAAAGCTTGGAGAAGACAATGATGCTGTGGAAAATGGAAGAAGAAAGGAAGAGGGGCAGACCAAGGGTAAGATGGATGCATGGTGTCCTTGAAGTGACTGACTTGACTCTGAAGGAGCTGGGGGTGGCCATGGCTGACAGGGAGCTCTGGCATCGGCTGGTCCATGAGGTCATGAAGAGTCGGAAGTGACTAAATAAATAAACAACAACAACAAGTGGAGAGCACGGGAAGAACTTCTTTATTACCATTTCCAAAAACTCAGATAGCATGGATAAGCATATGCAAAATTCCAGCCTTAAAAAATTTATGGAAAGGAAGTGTCATGTACCCAATTCCCATCCTATGTCTGCCTTTTATCCAAGTTTTTTTTAGGATCTCCTGATTTCATGGAGTAAGATGAAGTTGCAATGTGCTGCAAATGAACAGAGAGATTAAGCAAAGTCCAAATTTCTTTGGTCAGATTGTAAAGATAGCAATATAAATTGATTAGTGCTCATGCGAGCATAAAATGACCTGGAAATATATATTTTTACTGTGACTTCTTGCACTTCTTTTTTCATATTCTTCAGAGTAAACAAATGGGACGTCTGTGATTTAGGTTAGCCCATGAAGTGAGTCTGAGTTCTAGCAGGGATTCACACCAACATCCAGTACTCTGACCACAGTATTATGATGTTTCCCTTATGTAAAACATCTTAGAACCAAATGTACTGTGCATTTTTCATGTTACCCTATTTACCTAATAACCTACCAGTATTTATCCTAACATCTATGTTTCCCTCATGTTTCCGACTATGAGATTCAATTCCGAGTAAGGTTACCACTAAGCCTGTGTGTTTTCTGGCTGCATTATGCTCTGGGCTGGTCCTGAAGTGATTATGATGGCAGCCAGATGCACCAGGATGAATCTGCTGTGGCACTACATTGTCATCCAGCTAATCCAGGAGTGCCAAGACTGTATTGACCCTGCTTACTTTAACCTTAGAATCACAGTCCTCAGTCCCCAGGAGCAACTTGGGAAACTGCAAGTCACTTTTGGTGTGAGAGAATTGGCCGTCTGCAAGGACGTTACTCAGGGGACACCCAGATGTTTTTGATGTTTTTACCATCCTTGTGGGAGGTTTCTCTCATGTCCCCACAAGGGGAGCCAGAGCTGACAGAGGGAGCTCATCCACGCTCTCCCCAGATTTGAATCTGTGACCTGTCGATCTTCAGTCCTATCAGCACAAGGGTTTAACCCATTGTGCCTCCAGGGGCTCCTCTCATTGCAAGTGAGCAACCATCACCTGTTGCACTGCTGATGTCTGAACCAAATGCCCACATAATGAACAAGGAGGAGGTATATCAACTCCTTCCTTTTTGCTGAGTACATGGGCACCCCGTTCCAGGACCAGCAGATGCAATTGCTGGGACCAGGTTCTTGAAGCAAGCTCTATGGTTGGTAGAGAATGGTGGTGGCAACAAAAGGATGTGCTAAACCTTTCCCTATGCCAATCAGTGGGGGAAATGGATGGTTCCGGTATCTATCCAGAGAGTTTATAATGGTGAATGGAACCCAATCTAGCTGTCCAGAGTGCCATGAAGGTGACAAATACTTTGGGGTTTCTTGCAAATTCTGGATTATCCCGGAGGTAAAAAAGCAAAAAATAATAATAATATTGGATTCTCACCATAAAGTCACCATGTCTTGTGGAGATAGCCAGCACTGGATTTGAGGTGAGTCCAATTTTGCTTATGCATTTGATAAGTCCTAGGTATGCAGATTGCAATTATATTTCTTTGCCTGGTAAGTTTTTGACTTAAATACTGTCTGTATTCTTTGAGCTGATTTAAATAATATCCATGGAAGAATCTAAAAAGAAAATGAAAAAGGAAGGTGACTTTTCATGCCACACTTAACTTAAACTCATACCAAATTAGCTTTTTCATTGACAAAGCAATACTACTTACTATCTATTTCAGTACAACACTGTATAATGTATATTCACGTAAAAAATCAGTACCCAGCTATGATAGAGCTGTCTTGAATTTACTTTGCTTTTTTATGCTTTATCTTTCACACTTTTCCTCCTTCATCTTCTTTCCTCCCCTATTTCTTACCCCTTTTGTCTTTAATTTCTTTCACAGTTCATTCTTTCACCTCTTCTTCCCAGAACATGCAAGACATGTGGTTTACTGATTACATTACCTCTTACCCTCCAGCTCATTTCCTGGCCTTATATTTATCATCATTTGTATACAGGACTATAAGTATTGATTTTTCATGTACCACAAAGATAAGAACTCAATTCCACCCAAAAGAACCAAAAAATAGCTATGCCACTGAAGTGATGTCAAGGACAGAGGAGATTTCTACAAAACTTAAAAAATAGATTACATCGTGGCTTAGCATTCCAAAGGACCACATTAGAGCTCAATGTTGGGGTCACACAAAAAAATTGGCAACACCCAAAAAGTTCTGAATGCCACATGGATACTTACGCAAATCTGTTAGCAACTGCATGCAATGTTTACAGTGTAGAAAGTGCTTCAGCTCTACTCCATAAAAAGGAAAATCTGTCTGTTTAGCAAATCTTGCAAAAGCTTAATTATAAGCAGTAAATGTTTGATTTTTATATCTATTTTATTTGCTTTTATACCCAGTATACCCAGTATAGCATAAATGGTGGAATGGGGTCAGGTGGAATGGGGTCATGAAAAAGTATCTCAGGCAGAAAGAGGGCATGCATGAAAAAAGCTTAAGAAGCCCTGTTCTAGACAATAGCTCTGGATTTACCATGAATCTATACCATACTAAAGGTTCAGTGTAGATGAACCCTTAAAAGTGAACTTTCCATGACCTTCCAAACTATCGCAACTGCAAAAGTAAAATAAATAAGTCAAGATTTTCCATATATTTGCTCAGACATTAATCAAAATTGAGAACACAATCAAAAATATTAGAAAAAGACTAGGACCTGGAAGGATTCTGATGAAAGAACTAGATAAGATCCTGAAGTGTAAAAATATTTATACTTATATATTAATATTAGGATGGCCTGTGCCATCATATTTCCAGTTTCAATGTATGGTTGTGAAAATTAGATAGCAAAGAAAGCAGTTATGAAGAAAATCAACTAATTTGAAATATTGTGCTCAGGAAGTGTCCTATAGATACCGTGGACCTCTGAAAAATTTATCCTAGAGTAAATCCTTCAAAACCAAGATAATGGAATCGAAACTGATGTACTTTGAACACAGTATGAGTCACTAGAAAAGACAATGTTGCTGCTTGTAAGGTAGAAAGCTGTAAAAAAAAAAGAGAGAGAGGAAGGCCACATCCCAGACAGATAGATTCAAGCAAGCAAGCCATGGGCCTGAGCTTGCAAAAGCTGAGCAAGGTTGTTGTATCACTATGTAACATGATTTTTGTTCCTGGGTTATAAATGTCATTTCCTTATTGGTTCTATCATAAAAACATAGAAAAGGTTTATTAAACTGCAAAAACATTGTTTTTGTGGGGCATCCTGCAGCATATTTTGCTATAGTTTTTCAATGAATATCTCATTGAGTCTCAACCAAATCAACATAGTTTGTGGCAGCCAGAAAAACGAAGTTTCTGGGGTATAACAACTACTTTCAGAGTAAGTACCACACAAGGAATAACACTTTCAAACCAGGAACAGAAACTTTTTAAAATTTTGTTACATAGTGTAATAGGATGATTTGGAGCTTTGCCATTCATAGGGCATTTAAGCAGAAGTCAGCTTAACAGCAGTTAACAAGAACTAAAGATAAGGCAACAAAGCATTCATTTGTACTCTCTTAGAAAACCACAGCTCTGTTAGGAGATGCTACTGGACAATAATTTTTGAAGGCAACTTCCCAGATTTATTCTTGCATGACTGACTGAATGATGAAGTCAGTGAGACCTGGACAAATAGAATAGGTACACACCTCCCAAATGCTTCTGCAGAATGTCAACTGTCTTTGGTTGTTACCATGGGGATGTGATCAAGGACCATGAGATGCGTAGCAACAATGTCCCTATTTTCTGCTCCTACTGTTTTCATAACAAGAAAATCAGACCATATAAAATAGCTCACCTATTTTCATATGCAAACAAAATGTCTGCTGGCTCCCTACCTTTCCCTGAAGAAGGAGAAACGGGAGAAATAGTTCTCTTTTAGCCACTATATTACAATGTTTCAAATTGCATCTTCATAAAATTATTTCCAGCATTTTATCCTTTCAAGTGGCAACACCCTTTATGGTTATAGGGGGAGGAATTCAACTACCATTAGCCTCTTTAAAAATGAAGAACAAAGCAAAAATGTAAAAATGCATTAGAAAATATGGTGCAAATTATCTGTGAAGTACTTTAGAGAAGAATGAAGTCCAATATATTAGCCATTTTATACAGTTATCATTTGTCAGCATCATGATCATCTCCCTCATCATTACCATCATTTTCACCTTTATAAATTTTAGGAATGCTAAATTTCATCCAGTTAATACTATCATTGGCACCTTTTGTGTGTGCACTGCACTTAATTTTTCAAAATCTCCTTTTTTGTGTTTAAGCTCATAAAGGCACTGCGATATCTGACAACTGTAGGTGGTTTTTAAGGAAGCTAGTCATTTTGTAATAAGACAAAGATCAATGTCATTCTTTATTTCTTTTTACAATTAGTGTCAAAAGATCATACTATCAGGAAATGGTATCATTTCATAAGTACTAGCTAATTACAGCCTTTAAACAAAGAGGTGAATAAAAGTTAAAGCTTTGCTGTTTATGTGTCTCAAACTAACAAGCTTATATAATTATTTTATGACCTTTTTATAATTTTAAAGGTATTCTTGCTTTTGCATCATGCTATTCCTTTTCTTTTTCAACTAATATTTCCTTTCTAAACTATTATAATTTCCAAATTATAGATCTAAAAATGCATGCATATTACAACAGAGTTTCTAGAAACGCTATTTTTATATCAATATCCTCAATTCCTCAGGAACTACTAACTAATTTATTAATGCAAATTGGGGTTTTAAAAAAATGTTTATCAGAATCACTAAGATGTCATAAATCTGTCACAAATTCAAATTCACTTGAAATCTTTTTTTCAAAATGGAGGGTATACATTTACAACAAAGGGGGGGACCAGTCCCAAAATCTGGCCCATTATCATGGTCCTGTGTGCTGCAAACAAACTGACTTCCAAGATGAAGATTGCAAACTCTCAATTGAACAAGGGACATTGACGTACACATTTACCCTACATATTAATGTGCAATTTTAGAAATTTTAGCAAAAAAATCAACTGGGTCTATTTATCCAAATAGCAGTGTGAGCTCTGTACCTTAACTCAAAAAAGGAAACATTCTGTTCTTTGTGTTGAGTGATGAAAAGGCATAGTCCATCTTAGGAATGACTCTTGACTTGTTCATGGGTCATATCAAAATCCATAATTTTGTTCCACAAACCTTGCCTCAGTGTATACATGGTATTATTCCATCTTTCTAAAAGTATAAGATGTATCAGAGATGAAGACCTCAAACAGGCAACAAATATAAGAATAACATGTTTAATGTTATATGACGTCATGGTTCAGTAGGATAAGCCTATTAAATAAGTCTTGCATGTTTCCTCTGCTTAAGATGCTGATAAATACAGACTAGCAATAAGATTTTGTAGCTGAATGTTCTTCAGTAATTGCATGGCTGTTTTCTCTCACTGCTTTCAAATACAAGCAACAAGAAAGGCATATTTGTTAGATCCATAACATAATAATGATTCAAATGTGCCTTCAAAGGAATATTTGGTGATAATGTGAAAGAGGGCCTGTTTGATGACTGTTTCCAAACTTTGAAAACTCCCTTCTGAAAGAAGGTAGATTAAACTTCTCCCTGTTATTAGTTTGCCAACAGGTAAAGGCATTTCTATTCAAGGAAATGCCTGCCTTGTATGGATGATAGAATTAAATGCACTTTTAAACATTTAAATGGTATTTGATAGTACAGAGGATTATAAACTATTTTAGCTTATGTTTTAATGGTATGACCAATTTAAACTGTGCAATATATAATATATCATTGAATATATAAATATAAATTTGTTAAGAAAGATGGTGTGTCCCTGGACATTACTTTAACAGAAAATGTGGTACCACAGGACGAAATAACATGAAAAGAAGAGGAATAGGATCCTTTAGCACAGTGATTCCCATCCTTTGGTCTTCCAGGTGTTTTGGACTTCTAGAAATCCCAGTCAGCTTAGCAACTGTAAGGAATTATGGGAGCTGAACTTCAAAACTTCTGAAGGACCAAAGGTTGGAAACTACTGCTATAGCATAAAGAAAAAGAGCACTTGAAATGACTTGGCTGTTACAGACAGTTTTATAGAGTTTGTGTTTTATTTTTTCAATACATTAAAGTCACACTTAAATGAATTGATTCTGTGAAAAACAAACATTGAAGGAAAGAAGCATATTAGTTCCTTTCTCCTCTGTCTCATTATCTCCTACATACTTCCATGCAGTTCATAGGTTTTAACATGGGTATTCAAATAGAAGGAAATAAGCACAATCAAGAATAAAACTTTTTCAAGAATCAAGATGCAGGGTTTTGAACACTTCCATCCAATTATTATAATTATGATTTATTTTATTTTTTTATTATTATTATTTCTTACCCACCTCTCCTTGTGGTTCAAGGGGTGGGGGGTTATAGTATAATTAAGGCACATAAACATTGTAAAAATACCACAATACTCATATTAAAATTTATTTCTATAAAACATATATATTATGGATACATAGCTAAAAATGAAGAAATTACATAACTTCATCTCATGAGCCTTTCTATCTGGTCACA